AGAACTTTTGACCCATAGAACCTTTGAACGCTAGAACCTTTGAATGCTAGATCCTTTGAACCCTAGAACCATTGAACCCTAGAACCATTGAACCCTAGAACCTTTGAACCCTAGAACCTTTGAAACCTAGAACCTTTGAACCCTAGAACCTCTGAACCCTAGAACCTTTGAACCCTAGAACCTTCGAATCCTAGAGCCTTTGAAACCCAGAACCTTTGAACCCAAGAACCTTTGACTCTAGAACCTTCCAACCATTCAACCTTCGAACCTTTCAACCATCGAACCTTTCAACCTTCAAACCTCTCAAGCACCGAACCGTTCAAGCATCGAACTTTTCAAGCATCGAACCTTTTAAGCATTGAACCTTTGAAACCAATTACCATTGAATTGTTGAACCTATGAACCAAGGAATCTTTCAACCTTCCATTGGTCAAAACATCGAATCCCGGAGCTCATGAGTATTTGAACCCTAGAATCTTCGAACCTTCAAAAATTCGAGCACTCGAACCTTTCTCAACCACACTCTCATATCCGAACCATGAAAACATTAAACCGACAAACCTAAAAACACTTCAATCTTTGAACGATTGAATTACAGATCCCACGAAATTGTTCTGTAACCTTTGAACTCTAGAATCTTTTAACGCACGAATATTTGGTCCGTAGCCCTTAATAAGAAGTCTTTGATCTTTTCGTCTTTTAACCATCAAATCTTACACCCTTTGAATCCAACTCAGAGTATTTTGAATCGTATCCTCAGAGTGTGTGCTGAATATCCGCTTGTGCGAGTTTCCTCCACCGTCTCGTACTCGTCCTGTAGCCTTCAGAGCCCACGTGTCTTTGTGTGCGTACTCAGGAGGTGGACAACGCGACAGAGGCGACGTGCTGGATCTTCAACGGCGAGAAGGATGCCGAGGATCCGGTGTGGAGCTACCTGGGCTCGCAGAGCAACCTGGAGCGGCTCAAGCTGAGCGCGCGGCCAGACGGCCGGCTCAAGGCTATGCCCGCGCGCTCCCTGCGGCTGCTGCCCAAACTACGCGCGCTCGAGGTGCAGTACGGCGTGCTGGGCGAGCTGCCGCCTTACGCGCTGGCCAACCTCTCGCAGCTCACCGAGGTCAGTTCTTTTCTTTTCTCTCTCTCTCTCTCTCTCTCTTTTTCTTTCTCTCTTTCTCTCTGTTTCTCTGCCTATCTCTATGTCTGTCTCTCTGCCTATCTCTATGTCTGACTCTCTGTCTGTCTATCTGTCTCTCTCTTTCTCTTTTTCTCTCTCTCTTTCTCTCTCTCTTTCTCTCTCTTTCACTTTCT